AGTTGTTATTAGTTAATTTATATTCATTTTTGCACACTCATACTCACATACACTCACACACACGCATACATGTCAGAAATAGCTAAAACTATGCTGGGCACAATCAGGCAGCTGTAAAAGCGAGTATTTCACCCCAGTCAGTCATCTTTGCCAGCAGATGTAAATGGGGTGGGTGGGTTGGGGGGCTGCCTTCTGCAAGAGAGAACTTGAGTTCCTTTTAAAAGAAGCTTTCTTAAAGACCCCTTACACACTTGTAGCAAGTTGCTGCTGCTTCCAGACCTTGTACTGTCCAATGGAGCATTAGGTTACGTTAAGATGGTGGCAATAAAGTCCAAGAATCGCTTTGAATACTGTTCAGGATTAACTGTTGAAATCTCCGCACCAGCCTGAAAAAACCAGAAGGTGATGATGAGACACAGCTTAAATTTAAGACAGCAGAAAGTCTAGGGCATCTTATATCAGTGTTCCCCAACCTGGTGCTCTTCATTTATGCTCAGCTCTTCCAATTCCCAGCCCAGGAATAGAGAAGGCTGTCTAAGGACACCTCCCTTTGTGCCCATGGGCTCCATGATCTACCCAATTCTATTTTTCTGAATCTTTTAATTTTTTAAAAATGGAAAACTAGCACGCTATCATGTAGAGCATCCAACTCTAACATAATCTTTATTTTCAATAATGCTCTGGAACCCCATTTACCTTAAAGCATTCTTAGAAAATAAAAATGATAGGGAATAGCAGCCCAATGTTTTGTTAGGAAGAGTGTTTACCCTGCCTAGAGAAGAGAAGAGGAGAGAAGAAGAGACAGGAGGAAGCTGAGGTAGAGTATTTTAAAAATACCAGAGAAACTGTAGGGAGCAGACATTCATTCAAGGCCCCTCTTACCAGTTCCAATCTTTTACCTCTTTTTCTAATCTCATACTTGCTTTTCTGTGTGAATAAAGTGTTGACTGTCATATAATATGGCATACCCAATTACATTTCAGTACACATTTCAGAATATTAAAATTTCAAGTTTTCTAAGTGTGGGTACAGGGATACAAAAAGTACACTCTGATGTTCTGAAGTGGGCAGGATGAAAAGGGTGTCATAAACTTTGTAGGAACTTTACTCATTTCACCTCTTAATAAAACCCAAACCTGCACTCCCAAAATGGATCCTAGCCTGTCCACTTTGAGAGAAGCCCTCAACACATTTGCAAATTTCATGTGGCCCTTGAACCAATAAGAACTGCTCTCTCCTGCTCTATTCAGCAAGGAAGGAGAAAGAAAGGTATGCCTCTGCTTCATCTTGGCCTACAGCAAAGACCCTTCTCTAATCATGAAAACTCTTCCCAGAGTTGACAGGATTCTTAACTGGAAAAATAGCCAGAGTGGATAGGTGGCTCCCGGCTGGAGAGAAAAATTCCCTTCTGGGAAGATGGAGGGTGGTGATGGTTTTGTTTCTATTCTCCACCTGTGAGAGGTTCTACACATTTCCAACCCTAGACATTACTCTACAACTCTTCAGACTATTTCCAGAAATTATTTTTAAATTAAATTATAGGAGACTCGCGTATATAAGAGAGAGAACAGTCCCTTCAGAAGGGAATGTAATTTGAGAAAGGTAAATTCCCATCCTCACCAATAACAAATTCCTAAAGTAAACCGAGCCATACTCTCATGACTGCCTTGTGAGACGAAGTGGAAACATCTCTCATATCTGGTCTCTCCTCATTTTAGACAGGCCCTCAGAGATAGGGAGCCAGGGGAATCTAAGCATCTCTACATGGAAACTCTTTAATGGTCCAACCCCTAAAAATCACTGACAGAAGGAGTGTGCAACAGAGGCATACTCACCCCATGTTTCACAGTTTTTGCAGCATGGGCAGCTTTCTTTTTGGCATCGTAATGAGTAAGAATATCAATAATAGCCATAAAGTATACCTCTTTTCTAGCTGCATCTGTGGAGGAGGGAAGGAAATGGAATTAAAACTGTATCTAAGGAGATTGTTAAATGAACAAATATAAATTGGGATAAACTGAAACACTCCCAAACTGGTGAACTTCAGATATATTGAATTTCAAGTCACATCATCCCCAACCAGCATGAACAAAAGTATCTCAAGTATGATATTAGGGGGAATTGTGATGATATATTACTGGGTTGGGGGATGAGTACAAATATTAATGCTACATTTTATTAAGCCTTCTTAAGAATGGCTGGATTTTAGCCATTTAAAATGGCTATAAAAGGCAGGCAGGATTTGGCAATCTTTATTTAATTTATTTGATTTATATAACCACCCATCTCACCTATGTGACTCTGGGTGGCTTACAAGGTTAAAACTTAACCTTCTTAAATTGCAAGAAAATCTGTGCGCATTCCACCAATAAGGGTTTATATTGTACTGGTTTGATAAGAAACAGCTAAGTGATGAGTTCTTAAAGTTTTCAAATCGGTTAAGGTAGCCCTGACTGCAAAGTACACCAAGATGATAAGGTACCCAGAAGGAAAAACCTAAAAAATATTTGGAGGTGTTGGGTATGTTTAGTCTGAAGAAACTCACTCTTAGCCCTAGGAAGAAGCAGGCAATGGCAAACTGCCAGGGATATAGGACAGCTGTCTTCATCCATCTGAAGGCCTGTCATACACCAGATGGGAAGAACCGTTTAGAGTTGTTCCAGAAGACAGGAAAAGAAACAATGGGTTTTAATGTTGGCTGGACATCTGGAGAAATTTCCTAATGGAAAGAGCTGTTCAACAATGGAACAGACTGTCTCAGGATGTAGGGGACTTTCCTTGGCTGGAAGGGCTTAAACAGAAGCTGGATGGCCATCTCTACAGATGCTGCACTAGTGGATTCAAGCACTGGGCAAGGATTGTTCTAGATGACCTCAATAATCTCTTCCACCTCCAATTTTGTAGGTCTGACATATATTTTGAATAACTGTATGAATTACCAATATCATAAATACTGTATCGTACAGAGCTGATGTAAAGAGCAGTATGTATGTATATGTGTCTCTGAGTCAGTGTTGACTCCTGGCGACTGCCTAGACAAGTCCCTGCATTTTTCTTGGCAAAATTTCAGAAGTGGTTTGCCATTGCCTGCTTCTTCCTAGGGCTAAGAGAGAGTGATTGGCCCAAGGTCACCAAGCTGGCTTCATGCCTAAGGTGGGACTAGAATTCACAGACTCCTGGTTTCTATCCTGGTGCCTTAACCACTACATCAAACTGGTTCTTAAACAGCAATAGGATAATGCATATATAATGGTTTCAATATTTTAAATGCTAAACACTATGGAGCCAAAATAAAATTTTATTCTATCCCTTCATCTCCAAAGAGAGTTCTGTTGTTAGTCAAAGAATTTCCTTTAAAAAAATAGTTTGAAATCCTTTATCTTGTCAGATTTTATCATATTTATCAGGGCTTCAGTTCTGCTCCATCTGCTGAAGAAATGATTGGGACTGAAAGAAGTAGGAGCAGGAACACATGAACTAAATCCATAAGCAGGTCAGAGACCACAGAATGTGAAGACTGGGTACACATATGATGTACCATGCTTTTGATTCATGTCTCAATTTGCAGAACCCTTTTAAATCCTAGAATTAGTCTGCAATCATACATTGGAAGAAAGCTTCATCGAATTTAAATAGACTGCTTCTGAGTAGACTTATATAAGATTGTCACAAATACATTGACAATGGAGCAATGTATCTGGCAAAGACAGCAAGATGCTAGTGATTTTGTTTTAATATACAATTCCCAGTGATAATGCTCACATCTATTTTCTAATGCTTTCAGCACTTGGACTAAATCCACTTCTGGCAATTTTGAAATGCTGTATGAACACAGACCAGGAGACTGATATTTTCAATACAAACCTATTTCCATTATCCTTGCTTAGAACAGTTTTCTCTATTTTCTTTTCTTCAGAAGAAAAATAATGGAATTGAGTTTCATGCTGAAAAGACCAAAAATTTTGGGAAATACGCCAAAGCAATGACTTGCTTTTTGTTATAGCTATACAGCCACACTAATAGCTGTGGTTTATTTGGCAATATCAAGAACACTATTGTTTAGTAAATAGATTTTCTAAGTAAAGCAAATAAAAGTACTTTTTTCTGGGATACCAACTAAGCATTTCTTGATTTCTACTTCATTCAGCAACTAGGTGGCTGCTGAAAATAATTCTATTCGCCTTCAAATCTGGAGGCTTATGATGGAACAACTAAACTACCATATTATGGTAATCAACTGTATGTTTTATGTGTTTGTATGTTACTACATTTTATTGTATTCTAATGTATTTTTAATTCTGTACCCCACTTGGAGATGTACTATATGACAGGCAGGATATAAACATTTAAAATACATAAATATAAAGATAAATAGCTGTGCTCCACTCCTCAGAGTACCTATAATTTTACATATTAACACATAATTTAGTTTCAGCCATGTTGAGAAATAGGTCTGAAATCCTACTAGGATGAATGAGAAACTCCATAAAGCATGTTTTTGATCCTTATGTGGTTCTTTTAAAAACTCAGAGATTGTGCAAAAACCATAATGTCCTTCACTTCTAAATATTTAAAGCAAAGCCACTTACTTTCATGGCATTTTATACCATAAACATCAATGGTTGGATCAAATTCTCCTGGAGCTAAAGGCTGCAAACTGTTCAGTGTATTTCCTGGGCTATCCGGAGGTGTTCCAATTGGGTGAGCCCCATCACTTTCTCCTTCATCTTCATCATTCTCTTCACATTCTACTTCCTCTTGCTCTGCTCTTTCAACATCATGAATTCCAACCAGCAAGCTATAATCCATGAGTTTTAATTGGGCAAGGAACTAGACAGCAATAACATAAGAAAAAAAGGAATCCATGATCTAATCAGAAAAATACTTTTAATGCAGCAATGTTAGCTTCTACTAGCACAGATTTGTTCAAGTGAAGATCAAAAAGTAGGGTTTAATGAAAAATACAAAAAGTATTTCAAGAATGTAACACATAAAGTTAAAGCAACTGAATGTGGTGTCTGCCCAAACCTGTTGGATTTCAGTTCCCACAATCCATATCTGGTGTGCTGAAGTCTCTACTATACCAAGGCCCCGTGTTTCAGTCCATGATGGTAGCAGGTGCAAGTGAAGGATTAAATTGGAAACACAACAGGGACAATTCTCTACTACAGCCCTGATCTGGTTTGATTCCTTCCCCTCCACATCAGCTAACTGTTAAAAGTATCAGCCACTGAAAGCCACATGAAGAGTATCAGGCTTATTTGGGCCCTGAAAATCAATCCTGAAGGAAAGACTGGAACAGTTATCACATTTACTTCCTCTCCGTCCTTATAGGAAGAATGTTGACATACAAGCTATCTATACATTAAAGGAATGAAAGCATATTGAATTGATTGGTCAAAGCCTAGCAGAATACAAATAGAAGCTAAAACAAATAATCAGCCAGCCCCAGAAAATGCATCCCCCCCATAAAAAGAATGCCCTACACAGAAGCAACACTATGATCTTAAGATCTGTTACTTCAACCCAGACTGAACGCATTTCAGGTCAGTTAGATTTCAACTCCCATAATCCCCAGCTTCCATCACAAATTGGCAAGGGATTATAGGAACTGAAGTCTAATACATCAGGACCATACCAGACTGAGGAAAATCGCTGTAGATAAATAAAATATTTAGTCAGTATAAAAAGTAAAATGCATTGAAATGCAATAGATGTGAAAGCATAACCTTTTGCAGGAGCAAAGCTACTGATCTGCTCTATCTATCTATCTATCTATCTATCTATCTATCTATCTATCT